TGTTAGATAGGAGGTGGGGACCACAGTAGTTATGTGAGTCCAAATTTTATTATGTTTTTTGAGTGTTATATATGTTGTTTTATGTTTTTTCGCCCTATAAGGGCATAGTTGTCTTTGTACTGTTCTATTATTTTAGTATAAATAATAAGTGAAGGGGGTGGCCAGATTATTGCTCTATTTTCTTTTCAACTTCTCTTCTTCTCTTCTTCTCCTTCTTTCTTCAAGAAACGACTTTCTTTCATATATATATTTTTTTTTAATTTAGTAGATTCCTACTGAGATATCAAACAATCCTGTGAACCGCAGTGAAATAAGAATGTCCAGGAGCAAATGCAAATGGGCAAATCACCCAAACAACATTACCAATTTGTATTTGCTCCTAGACATTCTTATTTCACTGCAGTTCATGGGATTATTCGATATCTCTGTGGGACTCTTGATCACGGATTGCTTTCCTTTCTTTATTTTCGATCCATTTTTATGTGTACACTGGTGCTGATTGGGCAAGGTGTCCAAATGCATGTCAGTCCACAACAAGATGGTGTATCTTCATTGGTGACTCCCTTATCTCATTGAAGTGCAAAAAGTAGAGCATTTGTCCAAATCCTATGTTGAAGTTGAATATAGGGCAATGTTCGCTACTTGTAGTGAAATCATTTGGGTGAGGGGTCTGCTTCAGGCTCAGTTTGGAAAGATTACAAATACAAATACATACAAAATAATACAAAATACAAGGTTTTGCACTCTACGTATTTGTATTTGTATTCCTTCCAAACTGACCCATAATAACTTCACTTTCCCCTAGTGCTCCTTATATACCGATAATACAAGTGCCATATGCAATTCTTCAATCCAGTTTTTCATGAGTCACTAAACACATTGAAGCTGATTGTCATTTCATTAGTGATCAATTTGTAGCAGGGACAATCACGCTTCCACACATTTCATTTGAGCTTCACCTTGCTGATATCTTCACTAAAGCCATGGCTCATTTGTGCCATGACCCATAAGTTCCTTGTGGGAATTGATGTTGTGAAGGGGTGTAGATAGAGTTGTATTTTGTTGTTATTATATTTTTATTTTATTCTTGTATTAGTGGGTCTCATTTTATTATAGTAGACTATATAGGCTATCTTGTAATTGTCCACATAATCAGGGGTGTTTTTGTAATTGTTTGTAGCTTTTGCCCTATTTGGAGTTGGGGGCATTCATTTGATACACCCTTCCACCTCTTCTTCTTTGTTGAATACTTTTGAAATCCTAGAAGGGTAACAATTTCTTTCTCATATTGTGAGGTAGGTTTAGATGAATGAGACCATATTTGCTCAAGACTGCTTTTGAGTGATTGTAAAAAATAGTTTTGTCATTTATCTCTATATTTATGTATTAATTTATTTTCTGTATTTGCATAAGCTTCTTTTTATTTTATCTACTTATCTCTGTCCATCACCCTTCCCACAATTAACCGTTGTTGATATTGTCTTCCAGGAAATGCACACGTATTGAGATTCATTTGCTTACACCTCAGGGTTTACAGGTACATCTTTTAGACTTGCTATATGTGTTCATTTGTTTTTCTTATTTTTTTTGGTTTTCTATATTCATTATATTTTGTCTCTTGCTTGTTTTATCAATGTTTAGGGAAATCCAGTGATCATTAGTCATTTTGTGTGTTCTGTCATGGCTTTTATGTTATTATTAATCAGTTATATTTGTTTTTGCAGTTATTCTTTTCTTGTTTTGTTTGCTCTTGGAATTTTATTTGGGCTGTGAAGTATAACATATTGATTACAGAAATCCATATTCTTTAAGTTCTAATTTGGAATGTTTTTCTCCTCGTATTATGATAAGGTCAGTGGGCTTGAATAAGAAATAATGTATGTCTTTTGCAGCCTATGTTGGATGTGCCCATATATGGAAGAATTGCAACACTTGAACTTTTCCGTCCTCATGTGAGTTTCTTTATGTTGGTTCTTATGAGACTGTGGGGTTTATGTTTTATTTGGTGACTGCACTCTTCTTTTTGTCTTGTAATGATGCAGGGTGAAGCACTGGATTTTCTATTTATTGCCACAGAGAGATATAAATTTTGTGTTCTTCAGTGGGATGCAGAGACATCTGAACTCATCACAAGGTTTAAGCTTGAAATGAATATACCTTCTATTGTTCTTAGCTCCTTACAGATACGGCGATATCCAAGAGTCTTGGTATTAAGACATGCATGCTCCTTTAAGTTTCTGAGGGATATAAGTTGTTTGCACTATTCAATTAACAAAACTTTCTTACTTCTCTCTCTCTCTTTCTCTCTCTCGTTTCCTGACTTACCACTGTCTTTACGTTCTCTTTTTCTCTTTATGCCTTTTCATTTTCCTTTCATTTTCTTTTATTTTTTTTTCTGAAGTAGTATATTGTTTCTATTATTAGTATTTAGAAGTATGGCCACATATTGACATAGATTTCCCAGGTACAACAAGATTCTATACAATCATGCAAGTGTAGAACCAACTGTAGAAGAAAAAAAGAAAGATCAATCTCTTCAAGGCATATGAAAAGGTTCATGAACAAAAAAAAAAAAAAAAGAAGAGAGGTGCTTTTTGTATCTCTTGAAAAATATTTCATGATAAGAAGATGAATATGGCAGCATCATTGGGTTGATTGTAGCAAGGGTAGCAAATTGAATGCCTACAAGAATGGAGTTTCAGTTGTTCCTGTTGAGTCTACTGTATGAGGACAATCCAAAGCCAACACTGCCCCGATCAAGCTGTTGCACATGCTTGAATGCTCCCTCCACACTGCCCAGAAATGGCTGCTCTATTAGGAATCTGTGAACATATGGGGTAAGGCGGTAAGTAGAGCTTTAAGGATTGATGAGGAGTGAAAAGCTGCAGGCTAGGGCAACATTACCCAGATATGGTTGGATGAGGTCTGGGACAACAAGCGATCACTGAAATTTGAAGTTTCTAACATGAACACACCATATAAGAGGTATCTGGGTATCAAAAGTAGTTGGACCCAGTTGGGAAAGAAACTATAACACTAGTTAGACCTACAAAAAAGGAAAAAGATATATTAGTTAGAGCTAATATATTGTTGCTTTTACAAGGACTAAGAGTGGCTACTCATTGGGATTAGAGAGACTTCAAGTAGTGGATTCATAATGGTCATGTAGTCAAGTCCAGTGGGTTATGGAGCTTCTAAAGAGGCATAATTCTTAGCACTCCTAGAAGGACTAAGATTGGGCAAAATTTTCAATTATAGATCACAGTGGAAGGTGATTGAAAGATAGTTGCGGACTATTGATCAATAAAAAAAAAGATAGTTGTGGACTAGTTTTGATTCTGTACAAATGGCACTTGGAAGTATAGATATATCATGGGAGAAGTTAAAATTGGCAGCTGATACGAATGCTCCATTTCATTGGACACCTAGGAGTGCCAATAGTATGGCTGATGCCTTGGCTAGACAAGGGACCAACAAGGATCAATTATTTAGGGGGGTGGTTCTCCTGGGTAACAAGTTGTAAATATAAATAATAGAATGCAAGGAACAGGTATGTAGCTTGCCTGCAAAAAGGGGTGCAAAGCACAATAGTGGTGTTGTATTGTTCTTTTAACATTCTAATAAGATTCTGATTGTTCGCCAATTAAAAAAAAGTAGAGTGTTTCCCTAGTAATGATCAAATAGGTGAGCTAGCTATCTGAAGGTCCTTGGAGATTATGACATTACATTAAGAAGGGAAGATCATTTGCTGTTAGTATGTAAGGTGCATTCAGATGGGCACCTAGATTTGCTTATACCATGGTAAACATCTATAGGAAGTGGTGTATAGAGGGGGACTTGTATTGGGGAACATGTCTGCCAACATTGATATTATTCTCATTTTTTTTTATTTATTTCATGAACTGCTTATCCTACTACCTTTGGCTGGTAGGGGAAGTCTTGTACTTGTGTAATTACTGAGATCGAAAATCACTAGTTAGTTGCTGTTGCTGATAAAAATGTCCTTGCAATTTTTACAGTACTATCTTTTTCTGAAAAGCTGGAATTAAATCCAGGCAAAGGACAATAGGGAACACAATGGAGCAAGGCTTAGCTGAATGCTTTGGCTGTTTAGTGGGCTGTGGAACCAATGATAAGGTTCCATGCCAGTAATAAAATACATGGGGCCCACACCTTTCACGGTGGGGCCCATGAATTTATTACTGGCGTGGAACCTCATCATTGGTTCCACAGCCCGCTGAACAGCCAAAATTCAGCTAATCCGAATTCAACACAATGGCACTTGAGCACAATCACATAGGGGATGTGATCCTACATTATTTAATAGCTACTAAGAACTATCATTGAGACCCATTTATCAAAAAAAAAAGAACTATCATTGAGACCTAAGTTGGCAAGTTGATTTGGTTCAAGGGTTTCATTCCTTGTGCACATCTGAGAGCTGCCAAGTATCATGGTTGATGAACAAACAAATTAATTGAGAGGGAATGGAAATCTATCCACAAAGCTTCTACTTGCCCAAAAGGAATAATTGATGGTTGGACAGTTGAATGATCCATTGAGAGATTAGGTTCCTAAAAACATCAACAGGACCATTTGTAAATCTTATCTGGAATAATTGATGAGTTCTCAGTTGGTGTGGCTAGAGAATATTTTTTTTTTTCTTTTCCAGCAAGAAGAGGTTTGAGACAAGGAGATCCCTTATCTCCCTTCTTTTCACCGGTAATAGAGGTTCTGAGTATGATGATCATTAAGGTTGGTTAGAATAATTTGTTTAGAGGTTGGAGAGTAGGAAGGCTTGAGGTCGTATTTACTCATTTGCAATTTGCAGATGACATTACTTCTTTGTGAGGGAGGTAGTCAAGACAATCTAAAAAATTCAAAAGAGCTCATTGATTCCTTTCAATCTGTTTCCAAGTTGAGGGTGAATTGGGGAATGAGTTGTGTAGCAGGGATTAATGTGGAAGAAGAAGAAATGAGCATTTTGGCAAGTATTCTAGGATGTGGGATTAGGTTGTGGCCATTGGAGTATCTAGGGCTCCCATTGGGTGGGAGCTGCTGTTTTTCGAACTCTGGTGAACTTACCTATCTACTTCCTTTCCATCTTCTAGATTCAAACTAGGATACCAGTATAGTTAGAGAGGCTTGAGGTATTTCCTTAGGTAGTTTGGGGATGAGAAAAGGGATCATCTAGTGAAGTGGGAACAAGTTAGTAAAACAAAAGAGAAGGGAGAGCTTGTAATGGAGTTCACTTGTGTTTGAGTTTCTATTGTTGCTTGAGTCTGTCTGCTTGGGTCATACTAAACTTGACAGAAGAATTTGGACCCCTACACCAAAAGGCTCCTTTACTTGTGCCTCTTTCTTCAAATCCCTTTGCTTCAACTCTATCCCTGGGAAATTTCCTGTTAAAGAAATTTGGGCTAGGCTGATCCCCCCTAAAATTGTTGTCTTTTGTTGGGAAGTTTACTATGGTAAGATCAATTACTTTGGAAAATCTGAAACTATGGCACTCCTACAAGGCTTAAAGCTGGCTGGGCAGATTGGAGCAATAGATTTAGAAATTAAAGGAGATTCACTTTTGGTCATTTCTTGGGTAAAGCAAATCACTTCAGCACCTTGGAAGCTCAAATTTATCTTTTGAGAAATTGACCTTCTTGCAAGGAGGCTCAATACTCAGTTTGGTTGGGTGAAAAGGACTGCAAATGGGTTGGTGGATACCCTAACAAAACAGGAAGTAGATAGACCTACTTTGTTCTCGGCAGTGTTGTAATTGCTTGTAGTTGGGGTCATTGCACTGCTGATATCTATCTCCTGTACCTTAATATATTATCTTTGATTTTAATAAAAGTCCTGATAAAAAAATACTTTGGAAAATCTCCAAAAGAAGAAGCCTTACTTATGTCTTTCCCCTAACTGGTGTTTTCTTTATAAAGGTTAGAGTGAGGATTGTTACCACTTACTGATATCTTGTCCTTTTGTTGTAGCTTTATGGAACTGGATTTTTGGTTTGTTTGGATGTAGGTGGAACCTGCCATCCAATGTAGTTGTTTAATCCTTCTTATTTTGTGTGCCACACACGAGGGAGAGTTATGTGGAAATGTATTAGAACAGCTCTTTTGTGGACTATTTGGGAAGAAAGGAATGGCATAATATTCTTAGAAAGGGAAAGAAATTCCCTTGAAGTGCAGGATTGCATATTGACAAGGGCAGTTTATTAGTTGAAAACATTAGACTTCTTTGTTGATTTTCCCTTTGATGATCCTTTGAGAAATTGGCTAGCAGTGGCTAATACTTCTTCTAGGAGGATTAGAAGAGTGGTAGAATGTGAAAGCTAAATTACTGTAGCCGAAGTAGCAGAAAAGAGAAGAAGAAGAAGAAGAAGAAGAGATGCTGGAATGTCCAACTCCCAGCTCAGTCACAGTACTATTATTTATATTATGATGTAGTACAACGATACAAGAAGTTACTAGAATGCCCCTGATTAGTGATGGGACACCCAGGCAACTTAAAACATTAAACAGGATTAGGTCCATTAACAAAGGCCTAATACAGGACAACTTAAACTTAAGTATAGGCTAATAAGAACTCTTATCADCCGAATACTCATACATACAAAGACTTCAATCCAACACTCCCCCTCAAGCTAAGCATGGATWTCAATCATGTTTAGCTTGCCAAGCATGTCCCTAAACTTTGCTGTTGCCAGCCCTTTAGTCAGTACATC